CTGACTGTTCCCAGATAGTGTCAGCAAATGGATCTTTGTACTGTATCAGACTGTTCCCGGACACTGTCAGCACAGGGCCCCCTGTGCTGTATCAGACTGTGCTGAATCAGTATTGTACTGACGATGTGAGCAGGACGGATAGAGATGAATCTTGCCCGCGGGTCACGCTGCAGATTGTTACAATGACCTCCCATTGTCCCCCGACGTTCTACCATTGTTTGTTTATTTGTTGTGTGGAAGTTAAAACCGAAACACTCACTGCAGCTCCCCCCGCGGGGAGAGCAGGACCTCACATTAACGTCGGCTCTCAGCTGCGGCGAAGAAATCCAACACCGCACGGAGGCAGCAACAGACTGTTCCCAGTGTGGATCATGTGCTCGCTGAGAGAGCGGCCCCTCCAATGAACTGCTGCTGATTCAGCTTCAAAAGAGAACCGCCAAATCGAGCCCATGGTCTTGTCGAGTCATTTCTTAAAAGTGTCATTGTCTATTGTAACTTATATCTCACCTTTTGCCTACGCCACCTAGGTTCAGCAACCGAGCAAGAATGTCGTGGAGCCCCCAGCAAGCAGAGGTGAGTCTCCAGGCCACTTAAGGTGTAATCGGGATCGGAATTCGTTCGTCTTTAAAATATTTTGCCTGTTATTAGTTCCAAATATGACTTTTTGGTATGTCGTCAAGTATCATCCAAATGGATCATGATGGATTTTTTTTTGCCTTTTTAATTATGGACATTGAAAGTTTTGATGTTTTAGATGATCCTGTGAGGGCCAGGTATTTAAAGGGAAGAGATCAGATGTTACGTCGGACTAGAGCCTCCGACTTCACATCGCTTGCCCTCCATAAACTCTACTTGTTCTAAACTGCAATGCTTGCTTCGAGAAATATTTCACTGCTGGGTACTTTGCAGATCCCAAACCCTCTATATTTTACCAATACATTAAATATATGTTGGACTTCCATTTATATATCCTTGTGCTTTGTTGTATCTTTGCAGTCTTCTTTAAATCTTTTGTTCCTCCTTCTCCCAATAGACAAAAAAAAACTTTATTTTATTCGTTCATGGGATGTGGGCGTGACTAGCTGGCCAGCATTTCTTGCCCATCCCTAGTTGCCCTTGAGAAGGTGGTGATGAGCTGCCTTCTCGAACTGCTGCAATCCACCTGCTGTAGGTTGACCCACAATGCCATTAGGGAGGAAATTCCTAGATTTTAACTTAGCGACAGTGAAGGAACGGCGATATATTTCCAAGTCAGGATGGTGAGTGACTTGGAGGGTGACTTGCAGATGGTGGTGTTCCCATATGTCTGCTGCCCTTGTCCTTCTAGATGGAAGTGGTCGTAGGTTTGGAAGATGCTGTCTGAGGATCTTTGGTGAATTTCTGCAGTCCATCTTGGAGATAGTACACACTGCTGCTACTGAGTGTCAGTGCTGAAGGGAGTGGATACTTGTGGATGTAGCACTGATCAAGCGGGCTGCTTTGTCCTGGATGGTGTCAAGCTTCTTGAGTGTTGTTGGGGCTGCACTCATCCAGGCAAGTGGGGAGTATTCCATCACGCTCCTGACTTGTGCCTTGTAGATGTTGGACGTCCTTTGATAGCTGGTCTTTTGTGTAGCTTCACCTTCATTTGATCGTTGAAGAAGGAGCTGGTCAGGCATCTTGATTCTCAGCTTTGGAATGCACTAAATTCTTTCACAACCCTTAGCATCTTACAATATTTATTGCAACATATTTTGTTAAATTAATCCAAAATATCTTAATGTATCCTTAACGTTGAATCCACTTATTTAATTGTATGTATTGTTTGAAAATCAGACAAAGAAAGTTTTCATTTGTGGGCCTAATTTCTGTGAGCGAAATGAAATCTATATTTGCCACATGTCTCTTGATTTTCAGGACTAGGGGATGGTGGAGACTGGGACCAGTTTGGGTGAGGGATCAGAGAACTGATGAGGGGGGTAGCTGGGAGGAACATGGAAGAGAGACAGAGGACCTTCCAGTTCCTTGGCCCTCCTTGTCACCCCCACTTTAGAAGGCAACAGCCAAGTGGTATTTTCACTGGACTGTTAATCTCGAGTCCAAGGTTATGTTTTGGGGACCCAGATTCAAATCTTGCCACAGCAGATGAATTCAATAAAAATCTGGAATTAAGAGACTGATGATGATGAAACTGTTGATGATTGTTGGGAAAAACCCATCTTGTTCACTAATATCCTTTAGGGAAGGAAACTGTCATCCTTACATGGTCTGGTCTACATAGCAACATGGGTGACTCTTAACTGCCTTTTGGGCATTTGGGGATAGACACTAAATGCTGGCCTAGCCAGTGATGCTCTGTCCCATGAATGAATAGAAAAAAATCTCCATGACTTCTGAACTCTCTTCCCTTCTCACTCCAGGGATCTCCCCTATTCCTGTCCCAGTCCCTTGACCCTTCCCCACCACTGAAGCCCAGTTCAAAATTGCATGTGCATTCCTGTGCATGTGCAGTATGCATTTGCACATGACATCAGATATAATGTCCACGTGATGATTGTAACAAGGTCAACTGGCTGGACATCTTAGAATATGAGTTCGCTGATTGGGGTTATTAATCTGGTCCAATCAGGGAGCCCAGGCTGACAGACAAAAAGGGGAATGTTAGAGATACTGGTGCTCTGATAGCTGACTCTGAAGAGGTGCTACTAGATTCAAGGACTGTTCATGTGTAAATGGCTTGGTGATGAGATACCATCTCTGTGGAGTTATTTCAATGACGTATTCTGTTTGCAACCATGCGCATGCATGTTCCCAAATGAGCACATGCGCGTAGTTGCTAACAGTTCTGGTTGAGCAAAGAGTGTTGGAATGAAAAGCTAGCCTAATGACAACCCATGTGGACCTAGTTACTGGGAGGAAAATGGAATCCAGATTTGAGAGCTCTTGTGGTACAGTGGTAGTGTCCATACATCTGAGCCAGGAGGCCCATGTTCAAGTCGCCTCTGCTCCAGAAGTGAGTGGTAGCATCTCTGAACAGTTTGATTAAAAGTGTCTGAAATCTAGATTTGACAGATTTCTCTTTGTGATTTTCAAATGATAGTTATGTTAATGTCACTTTTGATTGTTATAAAAATTGTTAGATTAAAACGAAAACACTGGGTCACTAACATCCGTTAGGGAAGGAAATCTGCCTTTTGTACCTGGTCTAGCCTACATATGATTCCAGACCCACACACAATGTTGTTGACTTCTAATTGTCCTCTGGGCAATTAGGGATGGGCAATAAATGTAGGTCAAGCCAGAGAGACAGGCACATCCCACGAATTAAGAAAAAAATCTACTTACTGCTGTGGCTAACTCTATAATTATAACTGATCCAAGCACAATATAGCCCCACAAATGACAAACACCAGTTGAACTGTTTCAATGATGTTGGCAAACCTAGATTGCCTTTTAAACAGTATTCGCATTTGGACCTTGGAGTTCTATTTTCACTCGTAAAGTTATAATTGTAAACATGAACTTAATTAACTCATACACTACAGTATGTTGAAGAGCATATTTAATCAATTTTAAAATAACATATAGTGAAATATAATTAGTGCCTTCAGTAAATCTTTATTAATTTAAACCCTCACAATGCTAAAATTAATGTCTAAAACACTGCTACTTTAAGATACAATTAAAATTATTAGTGCTGGTCTTAAAGAATTACTACCTCTGTTCTTGTTGCAGATATTGGATTCATCACTGATATACATGGAAGTGTTTGATTTACCTTGGAGAACATCCAATTGAAATGGCATCCTACAAATTGAAATTGTTTGGCTTGTTGTATTTTGTACAAGGAATACCCTATGGATTACAATCGGGTTTACTACCAATCTACCTCAGAACTATTGGAATTTCATTTACCAGAATTAGTTTGACTAAATTCTTGTATTTCCCATGGCTACTGAAGATACTTTGGGCTCCGTTTGTGGATCAATATGGGACAAAGCAGAAATGGCTGCTATCTAGCATGTTTGGTCTGTTTCTATGTTGTTTAATCATTTCAAAACTGCATCCAAAGACTGATTTTGCAACTTTGGCCTTCATTTTATTGCTGATGAACTTCCTTGCATCAGTTCAAGATATTGCTGTTGATGGCATAGCAGTACGATTACTCAGTAATGAGGAAATTGGATATGGCAACACCATCCAAGTTGTGGGTTATAAGACAGGCTCTCTCGTTTCAGGAGCAGGGCTTTTGACGATGATGGACCATATTAGCTGGGATATGCTCTTTGTAATAATATCTGTTATTTATGTGATAGCTATCATTTGTGCATGCTTCACGCCTGAACCTCCAACAACCTCTGATACAGAAACTAGGTTGCCTGTGTTGAATCCCCGTGAAATACTGAAAGAAGTACTTCATGTGCCTGGAACCATTTGGACTCTAATTTATGTCATCATTTACAAATTAGGTGAGTGTGATATTATTATGATTGATAAAAATTACTATCCTGTCGGTGTATTTTTCCATATTTTCAATTTTTTTTGGTCTAAATTCTAATTTATCTATCTTATTTCAGTTCTGGAATAGAGTTGCACCAAAAGTACAAACCACAACCTGTGAATTTTTGCTGCAGATGCTGATAGACCCACTCTGTATTTCCAGTAATATTTGTTTTGTTATATGTTGACATGTTTGTTATGTCAGAAAATCTACTGCATGCAAAGTTGCCATTCTAATTCAATCCAAATTGTTTGCAAATAGCTGACCTAAGTTACTGTGCAGCAGATTTGGGCGAATTTAATAGGACCAGCAGTGGGCCTGTTGACTGCTGTTGATGAGCCTCTTAATGGGCCACTTTAGGGCCTCACTTGGTCTGTGGGCTGAAAAGCTATCCTTGATCCTTCCTGCCATGAACTTATTTGGATGTGTTGTGGTCATGCAGGGTAGCATGTCCCACTTCTCTGCCAGCCAGGAGCTAGTGGCACCGCAGTAGACCCGAGGAGGAGACTCATTGATGGAGTCTGGAATGCATGTAAGTTAGGTTGAATCGTGGGGGTCGGTCAGAGATTTCTTGGCATGAAGGGGGTTCTGGTCAAAGGGCAGGCACCTTACCTCATGAGAAACCCTTGCAGCTGGTTGGTTACTCTGTTGGGAATGGGGTACTCCAACAGGAAGAACATCCTACATCAAACCATGCGTATCTGCTGAGGTTCATCATGGCACCTGTAAGCTGCTGTTGATGAGCCTCTTAATAGGCCACTTTAGGGCCTCACTTGGTCTGTGGGCTGAAAAGCCATCCTTGATTCTTCCTGCCGTGAACTAATTTGGATGTGGTGTGTGAGGAAGGCAAGGTGCTCTCCATCTCAAGTTTTCCTGCTCTATTATATAGACCATTCTATTCCCTTCCCAGTCTGTGCCAACCAACTTGCACTTAGAAAGAAGGGCATTAAATGCTGCCCGTTGTCTTAATTTTTACAACACTTTCGTTGTGAATACAGCTTAAAACAAATTAGACAATCTTCAGCCCATTAGAAGTTTATAAAATTATGAGGGGTATGGTTGGGTTAATGGTAGGTGTCTTTTCCCTAGGATGGGAATTTCAAGATTGGGGCCCATTTGTATGGTGAGGGGTGAGAAATTTAAAAGGGACTTGAGGGGGAATTTTTTTACACAGAGGGGACTTCGCGAGTGGAATGAGCTTCCTCAGGAAGTGGTGGATGTGGGCACAGTTACAACATTTAAAAGACCTTTGGATAAGTACATGAATAGGAAAGGTTTGGAGGGATATGGGCCAGGAGCAGGCAGGTGGGACTAGTTTAGTTTGGGAATATGTTTGGCATGGACTGGTTAGATTGAAGGGTCTGTTTCTGTGTGGTATGACTCTATGACTCTAGGACTCTCAAAATCTAGGATAAAATGTTTAGAAAATGACATTTTGAACAAAGTGAGCCTTGGAACAGCAATTGTAGTTTTTCTAATTCTTGTTCAGAGAAATCAATTTTTTAAAAATTCATTCATGAGATGCGAGCATCATTTGCTGGGCCAGCAGTTATCCCCCATCCCTAGTTGCTCTTGAGAAGGTGGTGGTGAGCTGCCTTCTTGAACTACTGCAGTCTATGTGCCATAGGTAGACTCGCAATGATGGCTAAATTAGATCTGATACATAAATAGGCAATGTAAAAAGGGCAACTTGCAAATCCTATGCAAGTTAGAATGCAAGGTTGCGTCAGCTACAATGTTTGTGGTTGTTCCAATGTTGGAGTAATAATTTTATGTAGTAATAGAGTCATAGAGTCATACAGCACGGAAACAGATCCTTCAGGCCAACTTGTCCACGCCGACCAGATATCCTAAATTAATCTAGTCCCATTTGGCCATATCCCTTTAAACCCTTCCTGTTCATATACCCATCCAAATGCTTCTTAAATGTTGTAACTGTATCAGCATCGACCACTTTCTCTGGCAGCTCATTTCATACATGCACCACTGTCTGTGTGAACAAGTTACCCCTCAGGTCCTTTTTAAATCTTTCCCCTCTCAAATTAAACCTATGCCGTCTATTTTTGAACTCCCCTACGCTAGGAAAAAGACCATGGTTATTCACCCTATCCATGCCTGTCACGATTGTATAAATGTCTTTAAGATCACCCCTCAGTTTACTATGCCCCAGTTGAATTAGTTTTGGAGAAAAAAAAGAAATATTGATTCTTTTCGTAAATATCGTCACAGTTGATATTTCTGGTTTTGATTTTGTAACTTTTGTTTCAATACAACATTGTTTTTTTGAAATTGCATGTCGCACTCTTGCTGCTAAAATGCCCGCTCCCAGATTGGTTTGGAAGAAAGGCTCAATTTGTGTTCTAGTCAATATGGGTTTATTGGTCAATTTAATGTTAGTTCATAGATGATCCTGGTGACTCCAAAAATGCTTTGCATGTCATGATTGCTAGCATATTGTTGGATCCTTTGGACTTTCTCTTCCCATCACATGTTGTTTATCTTCTGGATTTGCCTGGGCATCAGCCTTTTGTTGTTGAATGCTGTGGACCTTAGATTGTTCTGTCAGGCATTGAAGGTTACTGGCTTTGTTCTGGGAGGTCATTGAAACAGTCTGGGTGATGTCGACACTCTAATCTGATGGTTTGGACACAGAGGTCAAGTACAGCTGACTTTATTTGATCTCTCTGCCATAATACAGATGGAAATGCTGAGGTATTCTAGGTTGGTGAGGAACTGCACTTTGGATTCCTCACTTCGCTCGGGTTGCTTTAGGATTGAAACATTGATCACCTTTTGGGCTTTTAGTGCTAGGTGGATGTCCATTACCAATTAAACAAGTTGATGATTTGCCCAATTGATGATTGGTCCAGAATGGTCCATATTCAAATACAACAAGACCTAAACAATATCTAGGCTTGGGCAACAAAGTGGCAAGTAAGATTTGTACCGCGCAAATGCCAAGCAGTGACCATCTCCAGTAAGAGACAGTTTAACCAGTGCCCCTTGACATTCAATAGTGTGGCTTGTTGTGGTTTAAACAGCCACTTTAAGTCTTGGGTTTCGCTCTTACATTCTTAATTTATAAATATGTGCCGGTAGACACTCCTGACAGTCTTCACAAAGGTCTGTTTCTGATTATACAGACAGCATAGCAATTTATATTCCTAATTCACCCATTTTGTTAGAAAAGCTTTTCTGTCTTGTTATGGCCCACAGCCTTTGATTAATTTCACACATACACCACATATTGTTAATCACTATGCTCTCCTGCTGTTCTCTTTCATCTCCCTATTAGCTCTGGGAAGCAGTTATTACTGTGGGTTTAGCATCCTCCTTCTCTCCATACCCTTACCACTTTAAGGTTTTTACTTAGCCTTAAGGAGGCTATTAAGTTTTACAATTGATATTCTTAGCTTGGAATTCCCACAGAATTGGCTGCATATCCCATCATGCTTAGAGAAAGTGTTCATGGCTACATTTGTCTATTTTAAGGCTAACAGTGTGCATTTAAATATCAATTGTAATCACCCGTCTTGAATTGCAGAGCAGGATCGATGGCTGCATGGTCTACTCATGCTCCTATGCCTTGTGTTATTGTGCATACCAGCGGCTCACTTCGGTCTTTAATGTGCCAGAATTCCCTGAGGTAATGCAGGGACATAGGCTGACAATGGAGCAATCCAAGACAACAAGGTGCAGGGCTGGATGAACACAGCAGGCCAAGCAGCATCATAGGAGCAGAGAGGCTGATGTTTCGGGCCTAGACCCTCCATTCAGGTCATGTGCACCACCAGAGCTGAGGGCTTTGAGTGCATGAGGTTCTCCATTGAGAGAATAGCTAATTTCACAAAGAGCCATATGCAAGCAGGAACAATGCACTAACGTGCACATAATGCATGTAGCATGACTGGCCAGTGGTGTTAATGACACAAAGAGGCATGGTAATGATTGCCAGTTGCACCCACCCCACCCTTCCCTCAGTGAACCAGAGTGCAATCCCACCGATGAGGGTGCTACCTCTCATGGTGTACTACCATTACGATTGGCTATCTTGGCTTTCCTGACTGGAGAGTTATGTACATATGTAGAGGTTGCTTACACCAGTAGCAGTCTCTATAGGTGCCCCACTGGCCTTTCTTTAACAAAGGTGACTGCCACAGGCATTTCAGCTAAAGGTGGATACAAGAGATCAGACTGCAACACCCCATCCATGGTCTCAAGAGGAGCACCCATCATTAGAAGTAGCTGAGATCACTGCATCAAATAGAGCACTAAATAGAGCACTATGTTTTATTCAGTCATAGAGTCATAGAGCTGCACACCGTAGAAACAGACCCTTCGGTCCAACTCGTCCATGCTGACCAGATTTCCTAAATTAATCTAGTTCTATTTGACAGCATTTGGCCCATATCCCTCTAAACCCTTACAATTCATATACTCAACCAGATGGCTTTTAAATGTTGTAATTGTACCAGCCTCCACCACTTCCTCTGGCAGCTCATTCCAAACACACACCACCTTCTGTGTGAAAAAGTTGCCCCTTCGGTCCCTTTTATGTTCTTCCCCTCTCACCTTAAACATATGCCCTCTAGTTTTGGACTCTCCACCCCGGCAAAAGACCTTGGCTACTCACCCTATCGTTGCCTCTCATGATTTTGTAAACCTCTATAAGATCACCCCTCAGCTTCCCATGCTCTGGGGAAAATAGCCCCAGCCTATTCAGCCTCTTCGTATATCTCAACACCTCCAATCCTGGCAACATCCTTGTAAATCTTTTCTGAGCCCTTTCAAGTTTCACAACATTCTTCCTATAGCAGGCAGACCGGAATTGCACGGAGTATTCCAAAAGTAGCTAACCAATATCCTGTACAGCTGCAACATGACCTCCCAACTCCTATAGTCAATGCAATGACCAATAAAGGCAAACGTACAAAACACCTTCTTTACTATCCTACCTACCTGCAACTC